AGAGGTCTGAGGTCCCCGCGTGTGACAGCTGAGGCGGCGGGAGCTCAGAGTGTGTGATGCCGTGATGTGTCCCAACTGGTTAACGCCCACAGGTTGGGGTCCAGGCCTCCTGGAGCCTCGGCTGGTGGCCCCCAGGCTCAGAGGGTGAATCTGCAGGAAGGCCTGCTTTCAACTTGTTCCTAATTATACGAAGCTAATTAACAGGCGGTGGCCCACATGTTTGCAATCACATGTTTGTCAGAGTTATTGTCCAGCCCGGTGGGTGGCGGATTGAATGGGCTCACAATTTGCTTTGTTCGGCGATCACAGAGCAGCCCCGTGGAGCTGGTGTCTGGACAGTCTGGTGTCTGCAGGTGGGATTGTCCTGCAGGCACGTTGTGCTGCACCTGCACACACTTCCGAGAAGCTGACATCCATTTCCAAGGCGGAGAAGTAGGGACGTCCCATGCGCACGAGAGCCATCAGTCCCAGAGATGTCTGGGCTCTGGGCGGCCGCAGTGGTCCCCACGGGGACGCGGCCGCTCTGGACCAGAGTGGAAGCACCGTGCCGGCGGGGTGCCCTGTCCGCGCCCCCTGGCCACTCCCCACCTGGCCCTGCTGTTTGCTGCTGGATGTCTGAGGTCGCGTCCTGCCCAGCCTTGTAAGCCTGTGAGGCCCTGGCCCTTGAGATAGAAGCGGAGAATTCTGGGCGGGCTCTTCCCGTGACATCGCGGGCCGGAGGCCGTGTCAGTGATGCAGGCCAAGGGAAGGGGGAGGGCTGGAGTCCTCCTGTGGCTCCTGGGACATCTTCCCCACTTGGTCACGGACGGTGGACCGACTACCAGTCAGTTTGAAATTTTCAAAAAACTAGATTGAGACATTGGTTAAATGTCTGTCATTAACTATGGACCTTACGTTAGGTGTTTAATGTGCTAAGGCATATATATATATATACATATATATATACGTATATATATACATATATGTGTGTGTGTGTGTGTGTGTATATATATATATATATATATACACACACACACACACACACACACACACACACCCCTTGGTAGAACAGACTAATTTGGGTGAGGGAGTGTCCGATAAAGCCGAAAATTCATTCAATAATAAAGTATGTTTTCTGAATATGTATGTAAAAAAATGGACAGATTCGTCATTTACCCGTTTTTAATTATGTAGACATGTTTGTGTAATTAAAATCAAGTGTATATGAAAAGTTTAACTTCATAAAAGTTTGACAATTCCATTTGTTTCAACTAAAAGAAGAATGGCGTATAACATATGTATCGTATGTGGCCCAAATCGCCCTCTCATGGGTGTGCCGCCCGAGTTGTGTGATGCCACGGGATGGGGGCCTCCTCTGAGGCAGCGTTTCCACGGGGATTGGTGGTGACTGGTGCAGCGTGCACGCTGACAGTGACGACACAGCACTGGCTATGCTGCGGGGCCTCCATGAGCAGGGTCGGGCTGGTTCGGGGAAGCGTCAGTGGGAGCGTGGGTCTGTGAGGATAAACCTCCTCCTGCAGCCAGCCATTCGCTGTCCTTTTACTTACTTATTTTTAAAAATATATTTTATTCATTTTTTCACAGAGAGGAAGGAAGAGGGATAGATAGCTAGAAACATCGATGAGAGAAAATCATCTATCAGCTGCCTCCTGCACACCCCCTTCTGGGGATGTGCCCGCAACCAAGGTACATGCCCATGACGGGAATCGAACCCTGGACCCTTCAGTCTGCAGGCCGGCACTCTGTCCACTGAGCACACCGGTGTCGGCCCATCCGCTGTCCTATCTGCCGTGTTTCTCCCCGGAGCCACGGAGGGTTACCGGCTGGCTCCTCACAGGTTGAAACCTCACAGCCACAGCAGCGCCATTGCTCTGACCTGATTATCCTCCCGCTCTCACTGTGTGCTCTGAAGGCACCACATCACACCAGAGCTCAGGTTCCCACACGTTCGCTTCCTCCGAGTATGCTTTTATGTCGGCGTCTTCTCACACTGTGGTGGCGGCCGACTGGTGAGTTGTGACCTTAAGTTATTGGGTCAAAACTAGTATTTTAACACAAGTGATTAAAATACAGGAGACAGCTGAAACTGGTTTGGCTCAGTGGATAGAGCGTCAGCCTGGGGACTGAAGGGTCCCAGGTTCGATTCCAGTCAAGGACATGTATCTTGGTTGCGGGCACATCCCCAGAAGGGGGTGTGCAAGAGGCAGCTGATCGATGTTTATCTCATCGATGTTTCTAACTCTCTGTCCCTCTCCCTTTTTCTCTGTAAAAACTCAATAAAATATATTTTAAAAATTAATAAAATAAAGTAGAGATAGTATGAGCGTGCTCTGTGCCCACCAAGGGCAGTGTTGCATCACGAAATTCCCATGTTAGCTTTACGTGTGTGTGTTTCCGTGTGTATGTGCGTGTTTGCTTGGCCGACATGCACAGTGTGTTTCTTACGGGGGCGTGAGGAAAGCAGTGGAGAGCTGCATCTCTGTGCTCAGGTGTAAAGTGGAGTGACTGCTCTGAACGACGAGACCCTCATGTCCGCATTCTGCTTCCTGTTTGCAGTACTCAGAGCTGTCAGTGCTTTCAGGCTGTCAGGACAGAGCGGAGCCCTGCCCGGCTCTGGTGCTCTGTCTGTGAGCCCATGTGTTCTTCACAGTCCTCCCGTTCTACCATGCCAAGCCCGGGCAGGTTCCTCCTCCAACCGGTTCCTACAGCAAACTCCATCCGGCAGGCAGCCGGGCACCAGCGGGTGAGTGCCCAGCTTTCTCACGTGTAGCATCAGCCTCTGTGCCACAGCCTGTATCAGAGCAGCCACACGCTGCCCCCTCGACAGACCGCCTCACACGGCAGCGGCACCTGAGCTCTCTGGTCAGCAGCGTCTCTGGTCTCCCTGCCCGGCACACGCTGGCAGGGTAACCTGGCAGCTGGCCCTGAGCTTCCTGTGAGCTCGGAGCCGCCATCGGGCAGTCCCGCACTCAGCTCCATCTCAGCTCTCCTGTCCCCTGTGCACATGGGCACCACGTCTCTGCTCCCTCTGAGCTTTCACAGACTTCTTCACACACACTGGTCAGGATCCTGAACTTTATCTCAGAGTTCACGAAGGCTGGCTGCCCACAGCGCCATCCAGCGTTTGGGCTGCGAGGGCACAGGGCACTGTGCGTCCTGGCGCCTGTCCTGGGGTCCTGGCCTGACTAGGATTCCCAGCTCACAGGCTGGTAAGGGTCCCGGCTCCCGGCGGCCTGGACTGGCTGGTGCACTCCAGCCAGCGTCCCCACAGCAGGCCTCTGGGTTTCCTCCTCCCTGTCTTTCTGGGGACTGAGGGATCCCTTGATTTCCCTCCATGTCCGCACTCACTGTCCTGGGTAGACGGCCGCCTCGGGGAGTGTGTACACCTGTGGCCGCCCGCCTTATGGTTACAGGCTGAGCACCTGGTCGAGGGGCGGGCACAGCTGCACCTCGTGGGTCAACGCCAAATCCTCACGCTCACTACCAGCACGCTCCGTGTGCCAGGCTGCCGTCCTGAGGGCTTCATCCTCAGGGTCGCCGTTCAGTGCCGGTCACTGCTGCGTGGCGGTGGGAGCAGGCCGGGCGGGGGTGAGGAACGCCTCCCGGGCCTGCGGTTACCGCCGCGTCTGAGAGGCCGGGGAAGGCCCAGCGCCCGAGGCCCCTGGGACAGGCCCTGCCCCGACCGCGGCCAGGGGGCTGACCGTGGGAAGCCAGTGATGGAAGCCCGAGTCCGGTTTCCATCCATTTCCTGGGGCGTTCTCCGAGGAAGGGCTGGCAGGGGGTGCATGCTGTTCTGTAAACGCTAACTCTCCCACTCCCCCGCCCTTGCATTTCTTGAACACCTTTGGCTAACCACCACTCCGGCCCGGCCGGCTGGAATGACTCCCTTTTACCGAAGCGTTCGTGACCTGAGGAGCAGTGACTCTGTCCTTGGTGCTCAGGCCCGTGGCTTCGTCTGGGACACGCGTCCCATTAGGCCGTAACAGTTCTCTCTCCCCGGGCCGGCCTTTCTGCTGCTCACAAAGCGATTGGTCTCCCCAGAAGCACGGCTTTGGTGGTTATTCCCCTCCCTCCCTGGCTGCTCCTCAGTTTCCTGGGAGAGTGGGGGCTGCGTCCTCCAGCTCCGAGGGAAGAGAGGTGCTGCCCACGCCCAGGCGCTGGTGGGCGGAGGGTGCAGAGCTGTTTCTGCCCACACACAGCTGGCGGCAGATCCCCGCCCTGTCCCCAGTCCTGCTTCTTTCCTTGCGAGAAAAGGGCCACTACCTATCGGCCTGCTCCCCATGGCCTCTGCAGCCATCCTGGTGCCTGCCTCTCACCTGGCTCCGGTCCTGCTCCAGAGCCTGTGATTAGGGGGCCCAGGACCCTGATGCTGAGACCCTCACCCAGGGGACTGCGGGCAGGACCCTCACCCAGGGGGGCACTGGGGACCCTCCCCCAGGGGGCTGTGGGCGGGACCCTCACCCAGGGGGGCACTGGGGACCCTCACCCAGGGGGCTGTGGGCGGGACCCTCACCCAGGGGGGCAGCAGGGGAGCATCGGGGACCCTGGCTTTGCAGTCCCCTTGGCTGTTTGAACGTTGGCAGGAGAATTTAAACTTTATTTGTGAGTCTTCCTCCGAGCGTGGGAAGCCTCTGCTTCCTTCGTCCTCGCTGGGGCTGCTGTGTGATTTTTATGGGAACCAGGTGACTGCGGCCTGGTGGGCTTGTCTCTCACGTGGGTGGGCGAACCCAGGGCTCCTGGCTCCGGTACCCCTCACCAGAGGCACTCCGGCTCCCGGGAGGCTGACTGTTCCGCAGTTTAACCCTGTGAGCTCAGCTCTGTGTCTTGGATTCAGGGTCCGAGGCTAGAAACAGAGTAAGTTGGGCTGTTAATGTTTCATGTTGGGTAAATCAGCTAATATTTTAAATGTGCCTCAGTGCGAGGGTGCAGAGGAAAACATCTCTCCCCGAAGAGGAATGAGCTTACTGCCTGCGACCTAATGCCTGTCCTTCACCCTGCAGGGCGAGAAGTTCGGGCCGTTCGCCGGCGAGAAGCGGAGGCCGGAGGAGCTGGATGAGCACATGGACTACCGGCTCATGTGGGAGGTGAGTTACCGGCTGAGTTACCGGCTCCTGTGGGAGGTGGGTTACCAGCTGAGTTACCAGCTCATGTGGGAGGTGAGTTACCGGCTGAGTTACCGGCTCCTGTGGGAGGTGGGTTACCAGCTGAGTTACCGGCTCCTGTGGGAGGTGAGTTACCGGCTCCTGTGGGAGGTGGGTTACCAGCTGAGTTACTGGCTCCTGTGGGAGGTGGGTTACCGGCTCCTGTGGAAGGTGGGTTACCGGCTCCTGTGGGAGGTGAGTTACTGGCTCCTGTGGGAGGTGGGTTACCAGCTGAGTTACCGGCTCCTGTGGGAGGTGGGTTACCGGCTCCTGTGGGAGGTGAGTTATCGGCTCCTGTGGGAGGTGAGTGCGGGCATGCTGTGAGCCGTTGAAGTGTGTGTCTCTGCACCCCGAGTCTCTGCACCCCGTGTGCACTGATCGGGCGGGTTAACGAGTGCTGACTCCAGGTGGCCGACAACGTCGCGATGCTGCCATTTTAAGGAAGCTGAGTGACTTGAACGTTTGGCATTGGAAGAAGAGTACAGTTGATGTTCCTTCCTAGAGGATTCTAGAATAAGGTGACCAGACGTCCCGCTTTTGGCGGGACAGTCCCGATTTTTAACAATTTGTCCTGCGTCCCTCGACTTTTTGAAAACACCGCGGGACGAGGGACAAATTGTTAAAACACTTTATTCTAGAACTCTGAGGTTTATGGAGTTCCTCCCCGGAAGGGAATTCCCAGCCTGAGGGTGTTTGGATGTCAGGACTAGCATGCGCTGGGCTTGGTTTAGATTTTAGATCTGCTTTCTGTCCGTGCAATTACATTCCTTTACCTTCACCTCCGGCTGCTGACCTAGCGACTGAGAGACCAGCCCTGATCTCCATGCTGGGATGGAAATCCCACCTTAGAACGCACTGACCTTTAGCCACACGATAGCTGCTTCTGCCTCAGCATGAGAACGTCAGGAAAAGGCATCAGGATGACACGGCGCTCCCACCAGGCCCTGCTCTGTCCCCTCTTCAGAGGTGTCATCCTGTGAGGGCCCAGCAGGCATGCTGTGGGCATATGAGAAGCTTGGCGTCTGTTGATTTTTCTAGATTTTTCATCTGCGGAGGGAAGCCGTTTGACACCTGGGGCCGCGGAGTTAGCAGGGCAGTCAGTCATGACTGCCTACCAGGCAGCAGCATGGCAGAATTTCCAAGCACCAGGGCTTTACGTATGTTTGCCAGCAGAAAAGATTTTGTGTCTCTGGCTAAATAACATATTTTCAAAAATATAGCTACCAAAATACATGATGACAAGCTTTGTAGGTATTTTTGTAACATCTATTAATTACTATTGCATTATAGTAAATTATTATCTACACTAATAAAAGAGACATATGCAAATTGACCATCACTTTGAGACAACCATCAGCCAATCAGGAGTGAGTATGCAAATTAGCCAGACAAAGATGGCGGCAGCCCCACTCCCCCAGCTGCTGCAGGCCTCTGGGCGGCACACATGCAGGCGTGGAGCAACCAGGGGGGGCGGATGCCTACTATGAGGGGACGAGGGGCGGGGAGGGGAAGAGGAGCTACAGGAGTGACGCTCCAGCCGGAGCAAAGACTGAAGGCTCCGGCCGTACAATGACTCCGGCTGGAGGGAAGACCTGGGTCCGGGTGCTGAGGAAAACTGGTGCTGGCAGCCAGGGAAAGGAAGGCCTATTGCATGAACCTTCATGCATCGGGCCTCTCGTTTCAAAATAAATGAATACACCAGACACACGGGAACCTCTTATGTAATTGGGCTTTCAAAACAATAAATAGGGATTTTTTTGGGGAAAATTTCTTCCCAGCCCCCCATTTCACTTTACTGACACACGGGGTGTCCCCTCTTCCTGCTGCAAACCAGGGAAGACCCGGTGGGAGCAGGGCAGGGGCCAGGGGAGCCTGAAGTGTCTGCCTCATTAGCAGCGGGCAGGACCCTTCGTTCACACCCCAGGAAAGCCTGGACACTGGCGGGACCCGAGGCCTGAGTGGACTTTGTACTCTGCTTCCTAAAAGGCTGAGGTCCACATCAGCCTCAGATCCCGTCCCTGTCTCCAGGCTTCCTAGGGCGGAGAACAAAGGATTTGTACTGAGTGTGGCAAGAGTTGGGCCTGGGAGGGAGTATCTGAGTGTATTTATCCGTCAGCTGCATGGACACTGGTGGCCGGATGCACCTGGAGGCCCCAGCGAGCCTGGGCAGGGGCAGGCAGGGCCCAGCCCGGAGAGCCTCGCCTGAGAGGTGGCAGGGGGGCGGGCACAGGGCAGTGAATGGCAGGCTCTCAACACCAGCGGAAGAGAAGGAGCTGGGAAGGCAGGGCCCAAAGGACATCTAAATCCCTGCTCCCCGAGGAGGAAATGGGGGCATAGAGCGGGGGGGGGGGGGGGGGGGCGCGCAGTAGTGCTTGACCGAGAACACAGGCCTGGAGGATCATTTCTCTGCTCGTCCTGAGAAACGAGCTGCTGCGTGGGGTTCTCTCCAAAGCCGGACCAGGATACGCCGGGGGCGTATCCTCTCAGACAGGACAGGGTGGGGGTGCAGATAGGGAATTGCAGTGTGTTTTGGTGGATTCAAGAAGGTGTGTGCAGCCAAGACCGGTTTGGCTCAATGGATAGAGCGTCGGCTTGGAGACTGAAGGGTCCTGGGTTCGATTCCGGTCAAGGGCATGAACCTTGGTTGCGGGCACATCTCCAGTAGGGGGTGTGCAAGAGGCAGCTGATTGATAACTATCTCTCATCAATGTTTCTAACTCTCTATCTCTCTCCCTTCCTCTCTGTACAAAATCAATAAAAATATATTAAAAAAAAAAAAAGAAGGTGTGTGCAAAGCCCCAGGACCAGGAACGACCAAAGCTGCTTAGACAGGAAAGACAGTAAGGAGGGCGTATCTTCTCAATCAGATGGGATGCAGGGTGTATCCTCTCAGACAGAAAGGACGGGGGCGTATCCTCTCAGACAGGACGGGGGCGTATCCTCTCAGACAGACAGGACGAAGGGCATATCCTCTGGGACACACAGGAAGGGGGCGTATCCTCTCAGACAGGACGGGGGTGTATCCTCTCAGATGTCAGGGCTCGTTGTGAACAGATTCTCCTTCACCTGCGGCATCTCGGTGTCCTGCAGGGAGAGGCGGGTGGCACTGCCTTCGGCCATGATGTCCTCAGCACGGGGTGGGGAACAGGGCGTTGACAGGGACGGCGTTGGGTGAGGATGATCCCCGGTGTCTGGCCCCTCACTCACAGCACATGTGACAGATCCAGGAGAGATCATGAGGGAGCATGTTGGGAAAAGAGTACACCATCCGTTAGAAGAAAGTCAGGCTGCCTTCATGGTCTCCGAGCAGGTGGAGGCCCTTCCATCGTCCGCAGTGGCTGTCCGAAGGAGAAAGGTAGCTTGGAGGCCAGTCCCATGAAGACCTGCTGATCAGGGGGCACAATGAAGAGGATGAGAAAGCAGGGAAAGGGGGTGGGTGATCCTTCTAAGGCATTTGTCTGCAGAGATATTTATGTTCAAAATATATTAAAAAACTACAAACCGATTTCAAGGTAAAAAAAAAAAATGGGCAAAACACTTGAACAGGCATGTCACACAGGAAGATACCCAAATGGCCAGTACATGCGAGAGACAGCCAAGCTCATGCCACCTGGAAACCCAAACCAGCAGCTGGAGGGAGTCGCCGAGGGTGTCTCACCTGGAGTCCGAGGCGTCTGCATGCCTGGGGGAGAGCCCTGGTCCCGGTGCGCGGTGCGCGGTGCGCGGTGCTGGGTGTGGAGAGCGGCCGAGGAGGCGGGCGTCGGTGGGCGCCGGGGCAGGGAGGCTGTGCGCTGGTCCAGGGTGATCTGCTCCTGGTGACGTGGCCTTCCCAGGGGGCTGGTGACAGGTGGCTGGCCTCCAGCTGGACGTGGGTGGAGGTAACTCAACCCCGTGGGGCTTGCTGATACGTTGTGTTTGGAAAGAGCTAAGTCTGGAATGACGTTGAAATGTTTGGCCTGAGCCACCTGGGTGGCAGGCGGGGACGTACCTGAGATGGGGCATGTGGGGGAGAGAGGGATGGGGTGGATGCTGCCTGGGAACTTGTGAAGAGAGGGCATCGTGCTGACTTCACCCCAGGTGCCCACAGCATACACTTAACTGGATACAAGTACGGTCTACGTCATAGTCATTAGTTAAAGACTCCGTATTCAAGAAACATATCGGTGCCAAAACCGGTTTGGCTCAGTGGATAGAGCGTCGGCTTGCAGACTGAAGGGTCCCAGGTTCGATTCCGGTCAAGAGCATGTACCTTGGTTGCGGACACATCCCCAGTGGGGTGTGTGCAAGAGGCAGCTGATCGATGTTTCTGTCTCATCGATGTTTCTAGCTTTCTATCCCTCTCCTTTCCTCTCTGTAAAAAATCAATAAAATATATTTTAAAAAAAACATTGGTTACATGTATGTTATTGTTGACACTGGCGTGCTCAGAGAATGTCAAATGCAGAGGCTGCAGAAGGAAATGGTGTGTGGGTCCCCAGCTCTGCAGACGGTGAGGGACTGAAGCCGGTTTTCTTAGGTTCTGGGGACTGGGGGTGTGTGAGCCGGGGCTGGATATTGAAGGGGACGTTTTGTTTGGATGTTTCTCTCTCTCTGCAGCGCTCTGTGCTCGCAGCTGGTCTGCTGCCTGGGAACCTGACTCAGCACCAGGTTCCCAATGTGTTTTAGTTTTTTGGGGAAAATGTTTCTAATTGTTTAACATCTTTTATTTTCCCAGATTGTTTATGGAAGTCTTTTTAGGTGTTTGGAACAAAGAACTGTCTTCACCAAATGTCTTCCTTGTGCAGACGATAGTGTTCTGTTTTAGGTTCCAGATGGAATCACTTAGACGCCCGAGGGCAGATGCCACCCAGGAGGCCCGGTGGCATGCTGGGGACCCCCAGTGGCATGCTGGGAACCCCCGAACCCGCGCCGGGCCCGCTCCTCCCGGCCCGGGCCTTCTCCTT